GTGTGTGTGTATGTGTGTGTGTGTGTGTGTGTGTGAGAAAAGCATCTGAACATATAGTTTTCCTTATACCCTCCCCTCTTCACTACCGTGGTTGTGGTTGTGAGACCTCCCCAGTGGATGCAGAGTTACACTTTATGCGTTTTAATATTGGATAAGGAAGAGCTAAGCCTGTGTAAAAGCCTGCGGGCGCTAAAGCAGGGCAGCTGGAGTTCAGAGGCTTAAAGCGAGTAATAACACACACCCAGCGGAGGTAGACCTTAATATATATATAGAGTGTGTGTGTGTTATGTTCCCAGCCTCACTTTGCACAGTGTGTGTGGGCTTCATATTCACTTCTCTTGCATTATATAAGGTTTAAGTGGAGATCATCTGCAGATATTGAGACTTTTAAAGGACGAGACGAGGAGCTTTTATTCAGTCTGAAACAGATAAACAAATGCTCCTCACAGACAGATACAATTACAAACCCTGAAGACACTGAACATAAGAAGGAGAGGAATCTTTAAAGTAGAGACACAACATACTGATATACACCTGAACATCAGCAGGAGAGGACTCTTTAAAGTAGAGACACTACATACTGATATACACCTGAACATCAGCAGGAGAGGACTCTTTAAAGTAGAGACACTACATACTGATATACACCTGAACATCAGCAGGAGAGGACTCTTTAAAGTAGAGACACTACATACTGATATACACCTGAACATCAGCAGGAGAGGACTCTTTAAAGTAGAGACACTACATACTGATATACACCTGAACATCAGCAGGAGAGGACTCTTTAAAGTAGAGACACTACATACTGATATACACCTGAACATCAGCAGGAGAGGACTCTTTAAAGTAGAGACACTACATACTGATATACACCTGAACATCAGCAGGAGAGGACTCTTTAAAGTAGAGACACTACATACTGATATACACCTGAACATCAGCAGGAGAGGACTCTTTAAAGTAGAGACACTACATACTGATATACACCTGAACATCAGCAGGAGAGGACTCTTTAAAGTAGAGACACTACATACTGATATACACCTGAACATCAGCAGGAGAGGACTCTTTAAAGTAGAGACACCACATACTGATATACACCTGACAATGAGCAGAATAGGGACCCTTTAATATCAAAACACACGATTGGAATTTAAATAGTTGCAAAAAATAAATGCAACTCAGAAAATAAAACCAGTGCATGTTTTAAAACAACTTAAAATTGGATGTCAACAACATTTTATGGAATTACAACCAGATAAAAGCTATTGAAGCTGCATGATTTCTACAGGCGACGACTAAACATATCGTTTTAATGTCCTTCAATCTGGTCTCTAGCCCGATCAAGTTTGTGATAAAGGAAGTATGTTAGAACTAGTACTAAACATTGATCACATGAAAAATAATTACAAAAACAAGATGAAAAATTGCATCTGAACTCCTTGTTCTTGATTGTGGCTAACATGGATATTGCAGGTTATAGAGTCTTAAACAGGGTAATGCAAAGAGTGTACATATGACAGAGGTGAGATGAAGCAGCTCTTTCAAAGTCAATTTGCAGGAGGACTCAAAGAAGATGTGGCTCGAGGCTGAGGAATGTGGCACGATGCAAACACATTCCCCGCACGCAGATGAAATATCCTTTACATGAGTGTGTTTAAAGTGGTACGGCAGATAGGAGAGGAAAGGAACAATCTTTACGTTTCATTGCATTCACCAAACATCAGACATTTTAAAGCCATTGAAAAGCGTGTTTCGATGAATTTGTGTCGCCAGCAATTTCTTCCCTAGATGTATTCAAAACTATTAAAATATCATATTTTACAACTTATCAAACCCTTTAAGTAACAACTGGCAATTGAACCCACATATTTGTTACCTAAAGTTCATATAAAAATATGTTTTTTAACATAATTCAAGGAGGAAGTAATAGTTTGACAGCCATTTGTCCTGTACATGGGAGAATAAGTCTTCTTTTTCTTAAATTAAAATGCTAAAATGTTTGTCGTTTGCCTTCAAACAGATTTCTATGGCAGCAAACATCCACCTGCTGTCTCTTTTAATCCTTAACAGCTCTGGTTAAACAGCTTTACAAAGCTTAACATGTTCTCAGAATTAACCAAAGTTTGTAGATAGTGCTACGACAGATTACAAATGTCTCACAAATATGACACTTTCCAGTTATGTACAAAGAATCTAGAGCAGAAATGTCCTCCCTCAGGCGGATAAACAGTCGATACCAATGTCTCACTTGGGTGTGAATGCTTAGCGGGTATTTATTCATCCACTAAAGTTCCTGCAGCGGCGTCGTCACGGCTGACACGGGGTCATTCCTGCTCGATCCCACGGACTGACTTTTCTGGGCCAAGTAGTCTTTATAGTTTCGGGTCAGGAGAGTGTAAAGAAATGGATTGATGCAGCTGTTCCCGTACGTCAGACACGTGACGAAGAAATTCACGTAATTATGCGCCGCCGGAGACAAAGCGCTGAGGGACTCTGGAGAGAAGAGTTTGGCTAGCTGCCATCCCCAGAAAGGCAGGAAACACGCCCAGTATGCCACCACGATGCTGAAGATCATGGACACAACTTTCTGTTTGAGTCCTCTCCTGTGGGCAGAACGGCTGCTGTCTCCAAAACTAGCCTGAACCGCCCAGTAGCGGCTAGCTAGCCCCACGTACAGCCCGACGATTATCAATCCAGGAACTAAAACACTGGTCAGAAACAGCACGGAGATGTAAGCCTTGAAGGCCTCATACGTCCACGTAGGGAAGCAGATCCTCTTCACCGTTCCACTCGCGGTCGGTTTCCCCTCTCTGAGGCGGATCATCACCATCATGGGGAGCGTTAGCACGAAAGCTAACCCCCAGATAACCCACGCAGCTAGCCTCCGTTTACGAGTCGAGGACTTGTGAGCGCTGAAAGGTCTCGCCACGGCACGGTAGCGTTCAAGGCTCATAGCGACGAGGATGAAGACGCTGGCGTGCATGGTGAGGAGGTCGAGGCTCAGCAGGATGCGACATCCCGCCTCTCCGAACAGCCAGTCGTGAGCGAAGTAAGTACAAACGACGAAGGGGATGGTGGACAAGTAGAGGAGATCCGCCAGAGCCAAGTTGACGATGTAAACGTACATCGAGCCATTTCTACGCAAGGCAGCCGATCGCGTGATGACGAGCGTGTACATGTTGCCCGCCACGCCCATGGCACACATGAACATCAGTGTTACACCAAGTAGAGATGTCACCCAAAGTCCACCACCCGTACCTCCACCACCACTACCGTCCTGAGTCCCTCCACTTTCAGCCCCTGGGCTCAGGACGAGGCCCAGCTGAGGGGTGATGGTGGCGTTGGTCGTGCAGTTCATGGCAGGTTCACAGTTCCAAGGACATTGCATTCAATTTCAAAAGCTTTCAAAGTCTGTACGAACATGTCATGCTGCGATGTGTAGAACAGATGGCTTCGGATAGAAAATACAGTAATTCTTTTTGAAAATGAGTCCCAAAACATGCCTGTAAAACAAACTAGTTCTCATAGAAAATACAGCAACTTCTTCCAGAACATTCAGGTAAAAACCAACTTGTATACAAGCTGTGAAGCAAAGAAACAGCATTGATATGCGAGAGGTGACGTGTGTTTTAATCCAATCAGAAGACAATGCCAGCAGCTTCAGTGACGATTCGAAGGAGCTTCCAGTCGAGTGTGATCCCCAGAAATAATGCCCTCCACTCTCCAAAGTCGTGACAAAGTGCCGAGGCGAGCTTGAAGTCGACTTCAGTTGCTTAAGATTCCAGGGAGCGTCCTTATGGGGATTAGTTCAGTCACTTTCAATACATTTCTGACCACTCAGATAGCGTTGAATCCTCAGCTGCATCATATCCAGTCCAGCTTCTTTTCTCCAGATTTCTACCTGAAGTGGAAGAGATCCTTTGCTTTATCCAAATGATCCATGTTGCCGCTTTCCCTCCGCTCGTCTTAACCTCCTTTGACCTCCATTACAGATGAAGCTCGGATCCATGAAAGTCCCCAGTTTGACAGAAGACCAAAGTGTTTGTGTTCTTTGGGGTTTTCATGGTCACTCTCCCTCCTTTTCTCTTCTCCGTCCTACCTCTTTCTCACCTGGGTGAAAACTGGCAAGGACCTACAGATTTATGAGGCATTCCTCTCTGGCCTCTGTAGTTTGAAACACCCAGAAACCACCGGTGGGGGAAGTCGTCCACAACCACACACACTTGCCTATGCACAACATAATAGAGAACGTTTTATTTTAGCTTGTTTTAGATGTACAACTTCTTAATTTGAACCTCATCTTCACAACTTGTTAGAACCTACTTCACCTGCTTTCTCTGTGAATTGAAGAGTGTGAAATAATCTTAAATCTGTATATGTTTATGGTGTAGGAAATGTCACTTTCCAATATAATAATAATAATAGGATTCAAGAAATGCATTAGGGCCCGGAATAAAGTTTGTTTTGGAAAAGCTCACTTTAAATTTTTTCAAAAAGGATTCACAACTTCTGAATTCGTGCACAAATCCGTACAAAGATTCCTCGACAACTTCCAGAAGAAATATTTATTTTATTATTCATAATCAATATGTTCATGTGGTATGTCAGCCAGCCATGCTCAAGCATAGAAATGCCTTAACCCTTGTGTCGCCGGTCACATTCTGACCCATGATTTATCTCAGTCCAAAACACTCAAAGATAATCTCTATCATCCAATATTGTTTTAACTACATCATGACTAACTTATTATGCATTCATAACCGTACAATCCTGTTGTAATTTTATTTTAAGGCCCCAAAAAACATTACACCACATATTTAAGTAAAACATTATATTTCCTATAGTGACGACGGTGGATCGTTATCTGACTATAGACTAATATTAGAATACAATACAAAGTTTTAAATGATTGTTACAGTGGATGAAGGGGAAGGGGGAGGGGTGTCTAAAGTCAAAGATGAATCTTGATTGGGCCAAATTTGACCTTGAGTCACCCACAACAATTCTGCGTGGTCTCCCCCGACCCCAACACCAAACTATACACTTTTTTAGAGACCTTTAAACTTGGCTAAAATTATCAAAATCTGTTTTGAAGTGTTTATATATCTGCTGTGGGATATCATGAAGCCTTGTTCCAATAATAAAACTAGAGCGTAGTTATTATATAGTTTGAACTTGAAACGGGTCAACATAAGGGTTACAAAAGACACCAAGTCAATACCCAAAGGAGTACCTCTTTAGCCAAAACATAGAAAAGAAAAACAACAAAAACTCCAGTGAAAAAATGTAACCTGAAACATTGATTGTTTTAACAAAGATTTAGTGATGGTATGGTTTGCCACATGGAGGCACTGTTAGACCATGCAATGTCTTAAAGTGCTTACAGCTTGATCATCTTCAACAGGCATACTCGTTCAAAAACTACTGCAAACAAAAGTTGTCTTACAAAATCATGAAAGCCATTCATGATGCAAACTGTACAGGTAGTGTGTCTGAAGATATTAAGTTGGTTAGAAAATCTCTGTGTCCTTTGTGAACAAAAACAGCACACTATGCAGCATGCTTCAGCGCTAGCTCATGAACTGCTTTATATTTGATACACAAGTTTACAAGAAAATAAATCAATGAATAAAATTGGTTTTATTAAAAATCCCAGACTGAAGAAACCTGTCCTGTTGATGGTCGCCTTCTTTTATTACCCAATCAGAGTACACTAAGATAACATAGTTAATACAAGAGGACCGATTCGCCTTTAAAAGCTGCACTGTGCATGCATGTGATTACGTGATTAACAGTAGGAAGCAACGCAACATTGATATTGGTGATTTGGGCAATGGATTTGTTAGGCTTAGGGTCAGACCAAAACTTTTAGTATCTCTTACCCCTACAAAAATGAGAGCAAAACTAAATGAAATACCGGTAGTATTTCAATTTGTTTCACTAGATATCTTATTTAAATGTACCGATGAATATTGCCTCGGTCCTCTTGTTTGGATATCTGCCCCCAAAGGGCAGCATTGGGACTTGGAAGATGCTCCAGTGTGGTGATATTAGTGAGGAAGGTAGTGCAGAACAGAGTCTGGAGATGGATGAGAGGAGATGATCCACAGGCGGTCCATCAATGCCTGTGTTTGAACAAGGCTTCCACTTGAACACAAAACAGAGTTCAAAGTTAGAACAAAACCCTCCAATGCAGACTATTCAGTATACCCTAAACCGGGGCTATTCAACTGGCGGCCCCGGGGTGATATTTACTTGCCCTTTGAGTATAATGTTAAAAAGTAAACACATTTATTTTTTTAAAGAATTTTTGTTATGTTTGTTTAGGGCCTTTATTCCAGAGGGGGTTAAATTGAGAGATAGAGGGAAAGACATTGCCTAAAAACTTCGGCGGGCTCGGGTTTCGAACCCACCTGTAGTGACAACTCCTGTCATTGATTGCATCTCTGCGTGAATGATTAGATAATTTCACCTAAATTAAATCAAATGAAATGATGTTTATGTTTAAATTAGCTTCA